GCTAATGCTAATCTGGTGCAGGTTACTACCGGCCAACAACACGATCAAGCGATCTGACAAATCACCTGGTGCAAAGGGTGCTAATTATCAGCCATTTGCTGAATTTAACTACATGTGTAATGGTGCAAATGCAGATATAGAAACTTGGATACAGATTTGTACCGACCCTAGATTTATCCTGCTAAGTTAGCAAAACAACCTGGTAAACGAGAGCTTCAACAGATGACGAGAGCTGTATTGCGTTTAATGTCGTTATATTCATTTGCATAAGTTTGGACCAAAATAATTCCAGTCATTAAGACGTGTTTATTAGCGCTGGCATTTTTATCGCTGAGCAGGACAAACCAGTAACCGGCGAGTAGCAAGTAATCATTAGCATGTTGGCTAATTTCATTTCCCAAAGCGCTTTTAGAAAGTGAGGAAGCCAGTCGGCGTATTCAGGACGCAATGTTCTCCTCATAACGGAGTGTATGACAGCTTAACACATACTTTATATGTTACAGTGTTGTTTTAGTTTCCCTACGCCCTGTCGATGCGAGTAAACTTGGTTAACTTATCAGTTTACTGATCGTCAGCGTCGCGAATCCTATAAAGCTAACGTTAGCAAGCTTGAATACGGCTAATATAAAGTTCAGCTGGGTGACTGGCTACTTAGCGTCCGACACTTTCGTCCATTTTTCTTACCAACACTTACAAGATTGATTTTTATTATCTTGGCAGATAAAGGCGCACGACTACAACTAACTATTGATTTTACTTACCCTCTCCTGGAAGACTCCTTAAAGAAATAAACAACTGCGACAGTGAGAGAAGCTGCTACGGTGGCGGAATCTTCATTACTGATTTCACCTTTGCCCTGCTCACGTAGGCGCTGACGTCTTAAAGCGTGCGGCCTACAGAGGGCGCTATGTTGGCAGGAAAAAGTCGATTCACGTTCACGTTGTAAGTGTAAATTGAAACAAACCATAATCTTAGTGTATCATAGAGTATAGTATATCATATTATAGTTCGTGGCAAATCAGACATAAAACTAAACTTAAATAAATTCATTCATTGTAATTTACTGGATTCTTTAGAATAAACTGTTTTATGTTTCTAGAGCCGATGATAATGCTCATATGTTTGTGAGGATGGTGGTGGGAATAGACTCATGATAATGCACAAAGTACATAATTTTAAAATGATTAAACAAAGCGTAGATTTTATGGTCATATTTCGTTGTATGAATAACCACTGAGATTTGAGTAGAACATTACTGTGAGAAAAAGAAATAGGTGGTTAATAGCTGCATGTTACATTGAGGGTTAGGCTATAATTTTAGCTCATTTTAACAGTCAGATTTGACAGTGAAACAATTGTGATGGAGTTGAGCTTTATTCAAGGGGCCAAATAAAAATATTTAATGAAACAATTGGGAAATGCAAGCATTTTTCTTCACAATCCCCATCTTGTAGGGTCTGAAAAAATAACTGGTCAAATCAACATAGTGACAAATTATTAGTTTAATAATTTATCAGGAGTCCTTTGGAAGTTGCAAATTATGGACATAATTCAAAGATGTTTGCCATGCCCTTACTGCTGCTATTATAGGTTTTGCATGTGCATCTTTATTTTACAAATTGTGATCAATGTCATATTCCAAGCCTTCATGACACTTTTTTTCTTCCCATCATTTTACTACATTTTGATCTTAGTTTTGTGTCTAAACAATGCAATTTCTTCATTTAATTGTCCATTATTTTCTATTTAACCTTTCTATTTTGTGCCTGATCAATAGTTTGCATTTTGTGTTGAAGTCCATTTTCTCTCATTAAGTATTTTCTTTATGATAGACTTGGATAATGATGATGAGTGGTTTCATGGCTGGATGTTGTACAGGGTTTCATCTTTTTCATGGAAATGATACTGTGATCATTCACCATTTTGTCTGCTGCTGATATCCCGTTCCTTGAACTTAAAGAAGAAAGTCTGCACCTGAAGTCATGCTGTGGTACTACTTTCAGCTGCTCCTGTATTTCCAATATGTAGGGGTCATAACAGCAGGTAGCTCCGCATATTTGGTTTGACATATTTTTATGCCAAAGGCCCTTCCTGAAACAACCCTCAAAGGATTTTTTTTGTCCAATCCCAGGACTGAACTGGAAATCTTTTACTTGTTAAGTGAGTGTTTAAATCATTACTTTACTGTGGTATCCAACTAAAATAATTTTTTTAACCTGAATGCGTAATATGTATGGGCATAACTGTAACAAAGTCCTTCTTCATCTTCAGTTTAATGTCACTCACTGTGAGTGGAATGCAGAATCTAGCAGCAACAGATTACATGTTTAGAAAAATGCATACAAATGCAAAATAACTGAGCCTCACTGAATATCGTAGTTCATGTCCTCATTTATTCATCCATATACATATAAAAAGATATTTGCATAAAAATATTCTGCATAAGATTATTTTCAGCATGTAATCTTTTAAATGTCAGTTGTCCGGACTTTCAACGTCTGTCACTCCAGCAGTAACAGACATTTAAACAACCTTTAAAATAACACAAATCCTTTTCAATGCACAGAATTACCAGAATTTGACTGTAATTCCATAGAAATGTAATACATATATCACAAAACAATTTATGAACATGTACAGCAGCAAAATACACAGTGAAAAAAAAGTGCTACAACTAATCGTGTCCACAACTGAGTTGGTCAATCCTGTCATGACATTGGCAAGCAAGAAAAACAGCAGCTGATTCCTGCTGACAGCTTGAATGAGGCACAGTCTCCCTATTTCACCGCTCTTTTTGTCACCATCGTAGTGCTTTTTGTATAAATTCCATGACGAAGGTACAAAGTGACAGCCGGATGCTCTTTTAGAGAACAACAGAATGATATCAGCCAAACCGAGGCAGGACAGGAAAAACAAGGACTGTGCGACACTCCAGAGGCAGAAAGGGAAATTGGCCAAGCGGCGAGAGACTGGTTCCACAAGCGTCTGACATGCGTGCAAAGCAGCATACAGGGCGAAACTTCCCAACAAGAGGCTAACGAGTGTTCTGAGCCACTCTCTAACATTGGTTCGTGGCTGCATCACATAAAGTCCAATTTGAACTCCTGAAAGGTAGATGGCCACATAGCCAAATATAGAGAACAGGCCCTCTTTGTTAGCGTGCAGAAAGTCCTTTTCTCTGTCACTATTGTGGATGATAAAAGCTTTGAGCCCTGAAGTCTCCAGAGTGAACTGATAAAATCCACTGATCAGAAGGGCAAAGATCCACAGCAGACTGGTTGGTAAAACAACTAAAAGCACAGAGACCACAACTCTGACGATGGATAGTGTGAAGAAGAAATTCCAGTGGACGCCGTATTCTGTCACGTGCTCGTGGTAGCTGGTCATTTTGACACTCACTAGCCTCCCCATGCCAATAGCAACCAGGGGCCAGACAGACAGGAGCTGCTTTGCAACATGACTCATTTTGGACCCTGAGATGTTCCTCCTCCGTGCTTCAGGGCACACCAGGGCATTTGCGAAGATAAACGCTCCAACTCCGAAGTCCATAACCCCTGTGCCATAGGTCTCCGTCTTAGCATATCGTCTTGGGAAGAAACTGAAGTCTACGGCCAGAATGCTGATGGCTGTTTTCACATTTACAAACACCCTGAAGAGAGTCACAAAGGGAACCTGATTGGATTCAACGTGACTCTGCAGAAAGGCGCTGACAGTGTTCTTCGGGCACCCACAGCAGATGTAGCAGAACACACAAGCAGAAAAAAAGGTCAGGCTCACGGCGACCTGGTGGAGAACGCTGCTCAGAACAGTGCACGACAGGACGAGGGGTACAATGAGAGCACAGAGGTCTAGAAGCAGGTGAGAAAACAGAGGGTGTGGTAGTGGCAGGTTCCCTTTGGCTTGATAGTAAAGTATCAAAAAGAGCCCTCTGTTGACAACACACACTGGGGAGAGGAACGAGCCCAGGGCCACCTCTTCCAGACTGGTCCCATTGAGATTGCTGACAAATGCCTCCTTCAGTTCCCTCTGAGCCATGGCCTGCACACATTTGAATTCATTATTTTAGACGCTGAAAGAAAATTACTGGTAAAATCATTGAATACGCAACACAGGCAGTGGAAGATTAAAGCATCATGTGTTGATTTTGCTGGGACAAGGATAGACTTTCTGAATAAAAGCTGAGCGTGTCCAGAGGTGTCACGGACATACAGGCGAAGCAGCCTTTATTAGTAGACACTGACTTTTAACGAAGTACTGGGAAAAACAATGTACGTAGATCATCAGCTGGATATGAATTTTAATTTGAACTTGCAAACATAATTTCACCAGTGCTTACTCAGTGCGGGATATCAATTCATTTCTCTCGCCTGCTCTACGTCCTTTACACGCTACAAAGATTATTTACAGTTTATAAGAACTTACCCAAGGTTTGTCTGTTGCGGACTGGAAATAGCTTACAGATATACCGGTTTTACAGCATTTCTAATTACAACTGCTGAAAGCCAGGAGACTAACCCAACCATGATGTCTGCACCTACAGAGAATGCCTTCGCTCATTTCCGTATTGGTTCTTTTGACGCATTCACGGGAACTCGGATTTCTGTCAACTTCCAATGATAACGGCGCAAATATTTTTTGTGCATGTTTAATTAAACGACTGAAAAAAGGTATTTACTTACTATTTGTAAGATTTTAGATTTCACCACCAAAGAGGCTTAGTATCATCGACAGCAAATAAGTAATTTATTGGGCCCTTATTGTGGAAGCATATTGGAGGACGTAACAAGAAAACTATTATAACAATTATAACATCGAATTAGCTGGTCATTAAAAAGTTAATCTTGCTAGGTCATAAATGTCCCAGTTTTAGGGAAACATGTCCCTCATAGAAATCCCAGCCGGTGCTGGATCACAGGTACATCTGGGTCCGTGAATCAACAGGAAGAGGGCGGGAATAAATGCGTGGTTGGGAGTTCGGGAGCAAGGCGGTCAGACAGACGAGCGGGACAGCAGGCTAGCCGAAGGTTGTCCTTAAGGAATTTTTTTTACAGTAATGGAAATAAGTTTTAGGTCTGAGAATTAGAATAAAAGACCAACTTAATCTGTACAAAGCAACGCTTTTTGTCAAAGTAGTGTTTCGGCTTACTTTTAAGAGAGACACGAGGGTAGCGGTCAATCAATGAGCTCTGTGGACGACCGACGTGACGTTAGAGAAGGATATAGAAATGGAGGAGCAACGGTGAGTTGGGACATGAGTATGACCTGTCCACAGTTTTTCTGTTTACGAGATTTGCCTTTTTGGTTTGTAAATTAAATAAATAAATAAATAAATAATATGATTAAAGGTAACTTGGCTAGGAGAACATTAATGACATGTACCTGTACCTGTCCTCAATTTTTGATTGGTTGGATCTAATTTGGACTCCCTTTGGAGTATTTTATTAATACACAAATACCTGAGACTCAATAACATTTCCGTTATGCTGCGTTTATGATGATGAAGATGAAAATAGTGCATGCAGTGTAAGACATAAACGAAGCTACACTTATAGAAGAATAGCTGCGCATTTTTTTGTTGTTGACATTAATAACACAAAAGTATGGTAGCACCGGGGAACGTGACTCGAGATGGTCAAATAGACGTGTTTTGGGCCATTTTTGAACGTGTTAAGTATATTTCAGAGTGTGATGCCCTGGGCCGGTCAGTGGCTCGTTGTTTGTACACTATGCTTTACATGGAGGTTGTTGCAAGTATGTAATGTATATAAACATCATTCGCTAAATTGGCAAATTATTGAATGGCGTTTGGCATGAGCGCGACAGCCAAGGTCTGGAGGTTCTCACAGGTAATGGAAAACTAGAAAAATCACTTTGTCTTCCTATATGTTATGTTTGTAATTATATTTTATAGGTTAACTAGCTGAATAAGACAAACATTGCTCTAACAGCGATTTCATGTAGGCTACCTGCTATGAGTCAATGTGCCCAGGGAATTAGTCGTCTAGTAATGGGCATTAAATTAATGCAATTATTTACGTGGTTTAAAAGTAGCCTTGCAGAATGATGGGATGTAGGCTGCCTGCTGTTGGATTAAAGCTGTCTGTACACACCTCAGACTGTTGACAGCAGTCAGACAACCTGCAGGCCCATGCCTTGAGTTAATGGCAAGATAAAGTGGAGACCTAGTTGTCTAGGTGATGTGATTGTATGATTAAATTGAATAATAATATATTTAATATCCCTAGCTTCCTTTAGTTCTTTAAAATTGAACCATATTCATAGATAAAATAAGTGTTTTCCCTTATTTTGTTTATTGTCTTTCACTTTACTCCGTATGTGGTAATGACTAACCATTTTACATACCTTTGGCATTTACTTAACTTGAGATGTTAAGTAATATTTCAGCATAGTTCAAATGTATGCTTTCTCATGTTTCCCATGTCTCGTGTTTTGTCTCAGGTGAAGGGATTAATTCAGAAAGTCCATCCTCCTCAGCGGTCCCTTAATGATTCACTGGAGGGAGAAATTCAGGCCTTCCTCACTGATGAAGACCAACTTTACACTTATGATGACCTCACCAAAGTCAACCCAGTGACCCCAGCGACAGGTATCCATCTCTGATGTCTCTATCTTTTAAATCACTTGATAATGTAAATACAATGATGTAATAGGGCATGCTTGTGCCTGCTGGTTGACCTATTTAAATGATTGAACTAAACTTGAGTTTAGGCAGTGTTTTCCACTGTATGGCACCTTAATTTTGATCTGCAGTGCTGGCAGTGTATTATTTGTCCACATCAAGATAAAATCTGCATGGTTGATAAAATGTTAATGTGTGAATGACTGACGCGGTGACATGCAGTGTTATACCTTTAGCCTTTTCATTACACCTTTACTTACGTTTTCATTCTTTTTATTTAAGTTTTGATATATGGGGTGGCTGTAGCTCAGGTGGCAGAGCAGGTCAGCCACTAATCAGAAGGTCGGTGGTTCGATCCCAGGCTGCCTCCTGGCTGCATGACAAATATCCTTGGGCAAGATACTAACCCCATGTTTGCCTACTGGTGGTCAGAGGGCCCGGTGGCGCCTGTGTCCGGCAGCCTCGCCTCTGTCAGTGCGCCCCAGGGCAGCTGTGGCTACAATGTAGCTTGCCATCGCCAGTGTGTGAATGGGTGAATGACTGAATGTAGTGTAAAGCGCTTTGGGGTCCTTAAGGACTAGAAAAGCGCTATACAAATGCAGGCCATTTACCATTTACCATATAAGTGTAGTCATACTGATCTATTTTATAGATCATATGTCAAAAAACCTTGAGGAAACTACATTACAGTACAATTATTATTTTTAAAACATTGTGTAGGTGCATCTGTAAACATTTGTAACAATGCAAATTTTCCCACTTAATGTCTGATGATATTTGTTCTTTCCCTGACAGTGCTGAAATGCCTGCAGGCCAGGTACAGCATGAAGGTGTTTTACACCCATGCTGGCTGCACCTTGGTGGCTCTTAACCCCTTCCAGCCCATTCCAGACCTCTACTCTCTGGATGTGATGAAGGAGTATCATTATGCTCATCAGCCCCAGGTATTTCAAGCAGTCTCCCATTTGTTTTTTTTTTTATTTGGCTAGCATATGTAGATATATATTTCTGTAGATTTGTGCTATAATGGGAGAAGATGAATAGTTGTGCCATCAGTGAGTGTTTCAAACCATCCAATGATGCAGACCTACTCAGTGAAACTCAAAAGTACTGCTTTTATTAACATCTGGGAGGTCTTTAAGCTATTGGGCGCTCTGCATGCAGTAAGTATGACCATCCATTTAATAAATCTGGACATTTTTGCTTGCAGAAGTTCAGGCCACATATCTTTATTGTGGCAGAAGAAGCCTACAGGAATGTTCGGGGCCAGCTGGAGCCGGTGAACCAGTCCTTGGTGGTCAGTGGTGAGAGTGGTGCTGGAAAGGTAAACCAGACACATGCAGCATTAAGCTTAAAGTGCAAGCTAACCCCGCTACACTGAATAATGAACCAGAATGTCAGCTTACTTGTTACTTTTTGCAACGGTTTGTGCAAAACAGAAGCACTTTGCATGATTTGAATTGCAAATCATAATTGGCGATAGGTAACTGAAAATAGTACAATGACAAGCTGTCATATGTTAAAAATGGCAAATGTGATTGTTTTGTGCAAATGATATGCTCATTTGAATTTGATATCTGCAGCATGTTGGGACAAGGGCCATGACAATCTGGAAATGTGGTGTGATGCCAAAAAATATTGAATGTTAAATTAGATCAGCTGGTAACAGATTATTAACATAACTGGTATTTTAAAATATTGAAAGCACCCCAAAGAGGCTAAGTCTTTCTAAAGAAAACTTTGAGTTCAGAATGATGTTTCTCATCATAAAATTGAGTGAAATCACTATGCAAGGGGCAACTATAAAAACCAGTGTCAAAGCCATCCTATTCAGGCCCTCGGGTATTAAAACCTGCATTAAAAACAGACACAGTTGTGTGGTGGAAATCACTGCATACACTTCTAAAATCCTTTAACAGTGAGCACTGTTCATTGTTGTTTCCACAAAGACCAATTAAGATTGTACAGTGCAAAAAAACCTGTAATGTTATGTAAATAATATTGAGCAATGACACCACCTTGTTTAGCCTGAGCTTGTTTAAGGACTGAGGTGAAATGGAAAACTGTCCAGTCAAATCTTACTGGAAAGAGACATTGTTTTTTATTTATATTTTACTTAGCTTAGCAAGTTTTTTGAAAACTGGGTTAAACAGTACCATTAAAAATTGACTGCTCAAGTGGGAGTATGAGCCAGTTTACTGTATATGGACTAACCTGATTAGACACTAAGAGCCAGATTTAGTGGCAAAACCCTCTTTTGATGTTTTAAAAGCTGCTGTCGGGATTTACTAAAGAGGTGCAGTGTTAGTTTTGAGACTGAAAGATGTAGACACAAGAACCTTTGCAGCTGGCCTTATTCCAAATGAGTGTAAGAGTTTCCTTTTCAGAGCACAAAATTCTGGGAGGAGACTATTTCAATGAATCACACATATGTGGTTTTTGGAATGAGGGGACAAAGATTATTGGAAAGAGTTTGTCATTAAGACAAAAAAAAAAAATAGATGGATCCTTTATAGATCCCACAAGAGAAATGATTGTGTTACAGTGGCAGGATAAAGAAGAAAAACGCTACAGTCTACAATAAATAAACAACATAGTAAAGGTGAAAGAGCCACGGGCGCATAGTGAGGGCCTTATACTGTGAGAGGGCAAATCATTTTTATATACACAACAACAAAAACAAAATAAAAATGTCTTTAAGTTGGAGAAGAATAAAAAGTGAGACTGAAATTGTTCAATAGAGTAGTGCAAATAGCATTCATAAATATGTACACTTTAAATCTAAGAAACTGCTGCAACAATGTGTGATGCAGAAATATGTGTGTGTGTAGTCTCATGCCTGACCGATGTGTTCACCTGTCATGGAAGGAAAAGAAAGAAGAGTTATGGCACAGTTTCACAGGAAACGGCAGAAATGACATGCTGAAGCATTCTGTATGGGAGCGAGGTTGAATTGGTCTGAGGGAAAAGGAACTCTGCTGCCTCAGTAGTGTGTGATTAATTGTCCGTGATGCAGATTAGTTTGTTCTCTTATCCCTCACTGACTCAAACACCTTCAGATTCTGGCCAACAAGGCTTCCAGCCTTGTGAATCAGTTTGTTGATCCTGCTGGCCTCTCTGGGACTGATCTTATCCTGCTAGCAGACAATGGCACTTTCTACCACAGACTGGTAGAAGTCTGTCCTATAACTGTGTAACGCATATTTCTGCTATAGAGTAATCCAGATATTTTAATGTGGCAGAGTGGAGTTTTGCTGAACTGAGCTTACTTTAGAGCAGGGGTGGGGGAACTCCAGGTCTCAAGGGCAGGGTGTCCTGCAGGTTTTAGATGTGTCCTTGATCCAACATAGCTGATTTAAATGGCTAAATTACCTCCTCAACATGTCTTGAAGTTCTCCAGAGGCCTGGCATTTAATCATTTGATTCAGGTGTGTTGACCCAGGGTGATATCTAAAACCTGAAGGACATCAGCCCTTTAGGCCTGGAGTTTCCCACCCACAGCCTCACACAGCCTGGAGAATAGAAAAATTGTGTCAAAGTAATATCATCAATAACAGAGTGGCAGCTTAGCATATTGTTAGGTCACCCACAGAACTTTTCACTCCCATCAGCACATTTTTTGCTACTGCAACATGACACAGTTTTTACCCTGTTTATTAGATCTGGCTCTTAGTAATCTGACATCTGTCTGTTTTTATTAATGCCCCCCAAATATTGCTCCTTGTTTACTGCAGTTCATCATACATGCTATAGTCTAGACAACCCAAATTCACCATCCCACAGGAAGTTGTATGCCGGTATCTGCAGTAGTTTGACTGGCATAAACATCTCATGCATTCTTTCCTATCACAGATTTTTATTACTATTGTTTTAAAATTATTTTTAGATTCTCTTTCCACCATGCCCAAAGTTGCTTTTTTGTCACATTTTAATATATGCTTAAAAAAAACTCTGCTTGTCTCTTAATGATTTGTTTCTTTGTAGACTTGGACATCTCGGTGCTTGATGAAGTACTATGCCACAGTGGCGTCCGTCTCGGTGGTGAAGAGTCAGGACACAGTGGAGAGGATCGAGAGGAGAGTGCTGGACTCCAACCCTGTAATGGAAGCTTTTGGTAAGAGAAACAGAGGTGTTTCTGTTAATGTGAAAACTGAATCCCGTAAACGGTCGCTCATCATCATCGGCGTATGTTTCGTTTAGGCAATGCCTGCACGCTTCGGAATAACAACAGCAGTCGTTTCGGAAAGTACATCCAGCTACAGCTGGACAGGTATTTACAAACATTACTTGAGGTGGCATCGTCTGCATAGTGTTCTCTCTTACTTTCCCACATTTGCGGTCAATGTGTCGTTTTTATTTAAAGGTGTCAACTCTTAGTTGGGGCGTCTGTACAGACATATTTACTGGAGAAGACCAGGGTGGCCTGCCAACCAGCTAATGAAAGAAACTTCCACATCTTTTACCAGGCGAGTGAACAGACCTGCGCTACAGCTCAGAGATATTTCACTCCAGATATGTAGTAATTCTTTTCAGCATTAACATACATGAACAGCGAGCGATTTAATGTTTCAGATGATGAAAGGGGCCACAGATGAGCAGCGGAAAGAGTGGAAGATGTCACATGACCAAAGTTTTGTTTGGCTGCCAAATTCCGAGAAAACAATTGAGGGTTGGTGTCCCTTTTTTATGTGTATTAAGGCACATGTCTACACTCATTTTTACATTTTATTTCATTTTTAGACCCAGGTCATTTTTGTTTTTTTAATAACAGCTTTTTATATATATATATATATATGTATATTTATATTTTTTTTAATAGAGGATTGTTTCCATGAGACAGTGGAAGCAATGGTTCATCTGGGCATCAATGCAGAAAGGCAAGGAGAAATATTTAGGGTAAGAAAGGATATCTTCTACTCTGCATTCTTTGCATTCACACTGTTGATTGGATTGGTGGGTAGATGTACTGGACATTTTAAAATGTTATTTAAAGTGCAGTCTGTAATGTAGCTCTCGATGAAGGCCACAGACCAAAATGCATTATTCAAGTAACAAGTGCTACCTCAGAGTAAAAGTTGTTGACAAGTATTATGTGATGCATTTTTAATAAACACTTCCTTACTGCTACTTACATTATAGTGGGCTCTAAGTGCTTCTCAGAGGGTGGTCTGGGGTTTGCATCCCTTAGCCACGTCAGTCATATAATCTTGCTGTACTATAATTAAGAAGTGCTTGTCTACAGATGGAGATTCTAAAGCCAAATCTGAGTTTCTAATACTTACTTCCTATAAGGTTAACCTTTGGACCATTAGAAAGTTTTTAAGCCAGTCCACTGGCGTGGGGTCTCGTGGGTGGTGAGTGGGGATAACATGTTATCTCAGCTCTTTAACTTTCAGTGGTTTATGTGCAGTGTTTTTTTTCTTCCCTCTGTTGTTGTAACACATTACAGATATTAGCAGGAATTCTCCAGTTGGGAAATGTCAGCTTCTCCTCTTCAGCAGATGAATCACAACCTTGTCACCTTGATGCAAAATCTAAAGGTACTGGATATTGTTTTGCTTTGACATTTCTTATAAAACATTTCCAGATAATGAATGATTAGGTATATATGGTAGTTACATTTCCATGTTTTTCGTTGGATTGAGTAATAAGTTCCATGACATCACCACACCTGTCTCCTGCCTTTAGACTTCTTGCAGAGGGCTGCTGAGCTGCTGTGTGTTCCTGCTGAAGAGCTTCAAACATGTTTAAGAGTAAGAACTCTGAAGGCGGGGAAGCAAAGCGTGCTCAAGCCGTGCTCTCAGGCAGAGTGCAGTGTGACGAGAGACTGTCTAGCCAAAGTCATTTACGCCCAGTAAGAATCTCCTTTTGACCATCAACAACTTCTCAGAGTGCAATAAACTGTTGTTAGAATGGATGATGATGTGGGAACATGTTTGTGGAAGACTCTGCTGTCGTCAAAGACTTAAATGTTAAACCGTCATGCCGTTTTCTGTTTACAGTAAACATGAATATTGTCTGTTTACAATCATTATAGCATCTCCATGCTTGAAAATAAGTATGTGACTTTTCCCACCAGGTTATTTGAATGGCTGGTTACATTCATCAACAACAGCATATGTGCTGATAAATCAACGTGGTGCAACTTCATAGGTAAAAGCATTACTTTCGCAGATAGTGCTGAACATGAATTTCTAGCTCTATAGCCAAGCTCACAGAACTCCTCTGTAATCTTCAGGAGTCCTAGATGTGTACGGCTTTGAATGTTTTCAGACCAATAACCTGGAGCAGCTATGCATCAACTACGCCAATGAGAAACTCCAGCAGCACTTTGTGGCTCATTATCTCAGAGCTCAGCAGGTAGTTTTGTTTCTCTGAAGGTAATCTGTTCTGATTTCTCAGTGGGCTGCTATTTTGAGTGCTCAAGCAGATTTCAGATTTAATCTGTCAACAAACTAAAGCAATTTCAACATCTCCTTTGTTAGGCTATGGGATAATAAGATGTTTAAATGTATCTCGAGAAAAGTTTCAGAACTGCTATATTAGACATGAACAGCAGCTAGATCATCAGATTGTTTTTCCTGCAGCATTAATGTCAGTATTTCATTTTACTATTAAATTTGTATGTTTTACATAGATTTTTATCACCATCATCTGATAATGCCTTTCACTACAGTAGGTGGCACTCATAGGGAGCATTTGCTAAGGGTCAAACCAGCTAATGCAAAGAAAGCCTGGCTATGTTGAACTTCTTTTGCAGTGTACTCCTCTGACCTTGGGCTTCAGGGGGTTCTTCAGATTTCACAAAAGCTCTAGCAATGGAAAAAAGATTAAAATGTCTTGTATGTGAATTTTCTTTCTTTCTTTTTTTTTTTATTTTAATCACTACTTTTCCCAGGAGGAGTATGTGTCAGAGGGTTTGCAGTGGTCCTTTGTCAAATACCAAGACAATCAAAGTTGCCTCGATCTTTTAGAGGGAAGCCCCATCAGTGTGTTCTCTCTTCTTAATGAGGTATGCTGGCCATTAAGAAACAGAAGGAAATATTGTACAGACTCAAAAAAAAAGCAGAAAAAAAAACAAAATTCCAACATTTTACCAAGCTGGGTTTAATTTTACTCCATTTCTTCTTTTGTCTACTTTTACTACTAGGACATTTAAGAATAAATGTGCCAGATAAGCAAAGTGAATACAACTTACTACCATCAGAATACCACCTTTGTGGACATTTCATGACCAGAGGTCTTTTATACCTTGTAGCTTACCTGAATAAATCCAGGTGATATGTATGATAGACGTGTCACTTGCACATAGCTGTCTGATTTTTGGCGATGTTACTGGGGCACTTTCTTCTTAATATCTTTGATGTCTGTAAATGTGAGGCCTTTGTGGTTTTATTTCTCTGACAGACACCACAAAACACAAATGGAATTTCCAAAATAAATAAACAAATAAATTACTTTAAAAAAAAAAAAAAGGAGAATGTAAAAAGCTACCAAAATCAGACCTTCAATCATTAGCTTGATTTTGCATTCTAAATAACCTTTCGGTTGGTCTTCACTGAAAGGCAGTATGGGAGTAAAATCAAAAGAAGTGCGACTTGTTTTGATAATCACCTAAACTCCTGAAAACAATTTTTCTGAATCCTAAAAACACAAGAAATCAGTCTGTATAATTGTGTAAGGAAGTGTTAACATGTGCAAATTTATGTTACCATGTTTTGTTTTGTGTTTTTACATATTGTAGGAGAGTCGTCTAAATCGAGCCTTGGATGCAAAAACGTTCCGAGTCCGTCTGGAGAAGGAGCTGTGTGACAATGCTAACATCAGCTGGGACAAGTTCAGCAAGGTGCCGCACTTCACTGTGGCCCACTACGCCGGCAAAGTTGGCTATCAGATAGAAGGCATGGCGGAGAAAAACAAGGTGAGAAAAGCTTTCAACTGTGTCAGAAATAAGCTGAATATGTATTCCTTTACTGAACTTCTGCTTAGATACTGATTTTCATTTATTTATGTATTTATTTTAAGGACCCAGTGCCACCAGAGCTAATTAGCCTGCTTCAAAAGTCCAACAACCAGCTTCTTCACCAGATCTTCAAAGACAATGAAACTGAGAGTCAGATTAAAAAGGGGCCTGGTAAAACCACTGTGGTCTCCAAGTTTAAGGTAGGATCCAGCTCTAGCCTTCATAATCAGGGCAATATAAGCTAGTCACAGCCTCTTTTATAGTTTGGAGGCTTTAGTGCTGGCACTGGTAATTGCTAATATCTCATTGTAGAACTCACTGGAGACCCTGATGAAAATCCTCCACTCCACAACTCCTCACTACACTCGCTGCATCAAGCCAAACCCTGAGTGCAAGCCACTGACTTTCAAGAAGGAGGAGGTAGACAGTCTACTCGCATGTTTAATAATCTGTGTTTTAACACCACAAAGACAACACTGACATGTTTGAACAAAAGGCAAAGGTTTCACTTGATCCTTGCTGTTTGTTTTCAGGTTATCATTCAGCTAGAGGCCTGTGGGATTGTGGAGACCATCCATATTAGTGCTGCTGGATTTCCAATAAGGTGAAACTTTATTGGAATATCAGCCTAATGTACCATTTAATTTCTGCTGGATTTTGGTTGACGTCTTGTCTTTTGGTGCACAGGATTCCTTTCCAAAGCTTCCTGCAACGTTACACACTGATCGCTAAACACATAAAGTCGGGGGGTCACAGTGTTGGTGAGTACAGCTTGTGGCTGAATCTATTTCTGGTCAGTTTCGCATGTTTCGTGTTTGGGGAAAATAGTGATTTTATCTCCTCTCTTTAGGTCTGCTGGTTTATTCTGCTTTTCCTTCAGTAGCCTTCTTAGTAAACGTGATCCTCTCCTTGGGAACTTTTTTAACTTGGTGCATTAAAAACAAAATAACAAACAAAATTTGCAACCTTTCCAGGTAAATGCATGCATGACTGTTGGAGCTTGCCTTGCATGTTCCTGCATTTTTTTTCTGTTATTATGTATCAACTGACACTTAGCTTCACTGCTGTGTTCAGCTGTCTTTTTTGTTGTTGTTTTTAGTTAGTAAAGTATAAGGATGATGGTCAAAAATGGTTTGGGAAATCTCTCAACTTTTTGTCCAGTGTAAGCATGGAGTTGACGTTAGATGGATTTTAGTGATCTCGAATATAAATTGTACTTGTTTTAGTGACTTTTTTTTTTTTACAGCCCACATCATAAATATTGTTATAAAATGTAAAGTGTGTAATTGTGTAAATGTGCACAGTGCTTTCTTTTTATTTCTGCATGCTGTGTGAGACTGCAAGGATTTATTAAGGTCAAAATAACCACCTGTGGATGACATAACACCTGATCTAGACATTAATGTTCCTTAGATCTTACTGGGTCGCGTTAATAGCTGGATTTTGACAGACTGATCCGAAGGTGGATCAGAGTGTTTAAAGAAATGCTTTCGAACCCAGGAGCCTCCTGCTGTGAGGCAGCAGTACTAACCGCTGAGCAATGTGCTTCCAGTAAACAAGCAGGCTCGCCTTAGTGATTCATCAGTTGGACAAATGCCTAAACAGACTTACAGAGCTGCTGTCACGTCTGTAACTTCTTAGCACGTGCATGCACAACCTGAATGCTGCAACATGCTGTGTATTATTATAAAAGTTCATATCTCCTCTGTGTTCCTCTCCGTGTGCATGTTAAAAGATTAAAAAATTGGTGTTGAATTCACAGCACAGCGGCTATGGAAGCTGTGCTGTTGATTCAGATGTGTTTGCTCCCTTGCTGTTCTTCACCCGTTACACTTTTTAACCTCACACGCTGTTACTGTATGATAAACCTCAGTCTCGCAGTCTGAGTGCTGCACAACTGTGAACATTACTATATCTTTAGTGCATCACTTAACCTAACTTGTGCTTGCTTTCAGTGTTAGATTTGGAAGCTGACACTTGTCCTCAGCGACATGTGGAGAAGATCCTCAGTGTGGCGTTGAAACACCGCTGTCTGAGTGAAGAACACAGTACATTGGTGCATTGTGGGAGGACTAAAGTTTTTCTCACACAAGTGATGGTCAGTCATTTAAAATCTGTGTTTCATTACAAACAAACAAGCTTATTTATTTTTAGAATTCCTTCAGCTTCTTATTTTTTTTTTTGCATTTTGTTTGTTTGCTCATGCAGTCTAGTTAGTGGTATAAATGTTCCAGTTTTCTTTCTTTTCTTTTTGAGCACACTGACCTGTCTGACTAATCTCACAGCTAGATTTACTGGAAGATCAGAGGAAGAAGATCCTGTCTCACTGCGCCTTTACCATTCAGTGCTGTTGGCTACGGTACCAGCGGGGCAGACGACACACCCACCGCCAGTCTGCTACTTTGATCCAAGCAGGTGAACTCATAATGCGCCTGTGAAGTAATGCAAATTGTGGCCCTGTTCCCACAGGTTCTCTGCAGGCTTTGACCTGACGGCCGGGCCCACGGTGACCAGCTGCCGGTGTCTGCACACTCTGTATTCAGGCTGTTTATCCCTTTAACGACAGAGCCTATCACAAATAACTACTTCAGCTGTTCAATACAGATGTTCTATTATTACTGGTGCTTTATTTATTTATTTATGGTTCTTGTTCTGCAAGAGAAACAAACCTTTAAAATAAGTAACTTGTTTTAAACTGCCTGCAGCGGTGCGGTCCTGGCTAGTCAGAAATCGTGTCCGGAGATGGAACAGAGCAGCTGGAGTCATCCAGAGCACCTGGAGGAAGTGGAGGGTGAGATTATATTTGAACGCTTATCCTCATGTGTTAAGTTTTACTGCTTTTTTCATTGTGTTAATCTGTAAATAACTTTGCTTTTATTATTATTTTTTACATCTTCTTGCAGTTACTCTTGAAATCCTTGGCTGAAGCAGAACTTGATGACGCAAAGGACCTGGTGGAGGAGGATACACCCGCACTGACTCCTGTCGTCAGAGAACGGGGCTCAGTACAGCTCTCCACCATCCCGGAGCCCGTCACGGTGCAACGGTGGCCCATGGGCCTGGCTCTAGCCTCTGCACCGTCCATGACTGTGTCTTTGACAGCCACAGGCTTCCAGAAGATGATGTCTGTCATTGCCTCCCTCAACTTGCCATCCAGGAGGGGAGAGTACCAGGTGAAGACCAACCAGTACACGGAGGAACTCGCCTCCATAAGGGCTCAGCCCAAGGTGAGGACACAAACACCTTCCAGAAACGTTTTCATTTTGTTCATCTGATGGTCTTCTCTTTCTCGTTTCCTGCACAGGGATCCGTAAAGCTGCACTGTCAGCGATCTCCGCTTCTCTACGCTGACAGGCAGCCGGACCTGAAGAGCGACGTGACGGGGTTCAATGAGATCCTGCTAGAGAAAACTCTGTAACCGCTCCCTCAGTGCAAAACGCTACTTGCAGTGAAGCAGCTGCTTCTCCATAATCTGACATGAAACATGAAAACATGGTATTATTTCATGCTGCTACTGCGTATGTAGGTTAAAACACTAATTGCCACGTTTGTTTGTTTTTGGTTTTCTTTTTTTTAAACGAAGGTCGAAACTGATCTTACCCTGACTTACAGGGATGAAGGGAATTATAAAACCTGCATCCTTGCATAATTATTATTTATCAGAAGTGTTTATGTAAGCTGGTGCAGTGCTAAAAATCACCTCCAGTTGCCTTACGGCCCCAGAGATGACAAAATATATATAAATATATCACCTAAAATTCCAAATCTGAGTCAGGAGAGTGGATACAATCCTCAGCTGCATTTAAGATAACGTACCCCCTTTTTTTTCATTTCTTTTACAGAAAGAAATGAAGTACCATTCACATTTCTCTGTGAATGGTACTCATGGCCATTGATCAGTGGGCTTTGATCAGTGGTTGTTGATCAATGGTCATGAAAATGTGCATAATTATGATGAAGGAACTGACCTCCCACCCCATTGTTCCTTCAGTGGGCTGATCAGTGGGGAAACCTGCAGTCAGCTGAGACTGAAGAAGTCACTTGCATGAGTGACGAAACGTTTCTCCCACTGAAAACGCTACGTCCAGATGAACAAAATCAACTTTAGGGGATTCTTTTACAGAACTTGCCATGTTTGTCACATGTAGAAAACAGCACATGGTGTAGATGGGATTATGGTGATGCAGGATAAACACTAACTCTTTTTAAAAGAAATCTTTGTAAAACTCAAAATTTAAGGCATAATCTTGGCACTTTTTTAAAAGAAAAAAAAAATACCAGGGCTGCAGGCTTTTGTCTCCTGATAGATGATCAGAGTATTAGGCCTCGAGACAAGTGCCTTTCTTAGAATCCACGATCAAACCACATATGAGCTGTACATGTATTTATTGGGCTGATTATTTATCTGTGACTTAATTTTTCCAGTCTTCTGTTTCTGATTCTTGTGTAGTTTTGTGGTTGCTGCTAGGAGGAAAATGGTAATCGAGCAAATATTGCACGTTAAGCGAATATTGCACTTCAAAAGCATGCACATTCTTATGTAATCAACAAGATTACACGACAGGGTGTCTACAGGCATGAGCAGGTAAAATGTATTTTATTAATTTTCATTCTTACACCATTTTAATAGCCCCGAATCTTTATCTTGACTGATGAGCAGGCTCTGATATCTTCAGGGTGTCCACCAGTGTAATCGACAGCTTAGTCGTGTATATTTACACTTTGCTGGCCTGAGGCTTTGGGGATTTTTATATTTTTGAGGCAGTTTTTTTTTAAGCACCATTAAAATTAGTTAATCATTAGCCTTTTTATTATTACCCCTGAGCAGCAAAAGGCTGATTGTGTACTGTCATCACCCCACCAGGCAGGCAGCGCGGAGATTTAAGTTTGTGAATGCAATAACTGGAGAACAAGGTGATACCATAGGTGTGTTTACTAAAAATGTTGGACAAGTTTGTATGTCAGTAACCTCGACCTCAAGGTCGGAGCAAGTTGTCTGAAAACCTGGTCAACGCGACAAACATGAGAACACGACACAGGATTTTGAAATCGACACTGTAGGTATGTCTACCATAGAACTGAGAGGAACCACTGGTGGTCGACAGTATTTTAATGAAAACAGGCAAACAAGGGTATTATTGTACAAATACTAAAGTCATATGATATGATCTAAATGTGTTGAGGCAGCAAAAACAGTGGAATAGTGTGCCAGAAATTCTCAATAACTTGAGTAAAAGCACATCAGACACATCCACACTAATACGTTAAGGGTTTATATTGATGAGTATTGAGGAACTTTCAAGGAGCCGTAGACACCCTGCATAACAGAAACTTCACTGATGTGAAAAAGGATGAACCCAGGTTTATTTACATCGCTGCTCTTTGTCTTATGCACGTCAGCAAAATATGTCTGAACCACTGTGTGAATTTCATCCAAAGCAATGCAGTACTGTAACATATACCAAAGTCTTTTTACACTACAGTATTTGTGTATGATAAACTTGATTTTTCTTATCATGATCAGCTTTGATATTTAAACTTTGAACAAACACATTAGCAACAATCATAGAAATCATTGGAGCTTCTCACTCCACTTTTAACTTCAAGAGATTTCCTTTTTTCATTTTATCCACACAAATTTAATGACTTAGATATGTAAACGTGTCCAGGTTATTATCAGAAGTTATAATATGGAATTTGTATTTTAACTGTTTTATTCTTATTATCTTCCATTTCTGTCAGTAGTACCACGGTATCCATTGACTTGTATGTTTAAATGTTTTTGTTGAAATAAATGTCAGTTTTAAAATGTTTGGATTTCCAATCATCACTTTCCCCTTGAAGTCTTTACATGTGAAGTCTTGTTAATGGTAACTCTGGGAATTTTTACAGTTTGAAAAAGTTGGGGCTTATTTTTGAACATTATATACATACTGTAGTTTGAAGTCACAACACAAACTGCAGCAACAACACTACAAAAATATATTTTAAAAAAAATGAAAGCTGGATTTTACAAGTTGGCATCTTCACTTGATTTTGCATCATTTTCTACAATTTTCAAGCACTGATCAGAAAATTCCATAAACAGCGGCTCCTGCATGGCTGATTTCATTGCATCCTCTTTACGCTCTGCACCATCTATAGAGCACAATAACTGCCTCAGATGAGGATTACAGAGCAGGTCCTTTAGCTCTTTTGACTGGCCTGGAGATAAAGAAAACAGCAGTTACTCTCACACACTACTTTGTGTTAACGTGCCATTGCTGTTGCACGAAGCTTTTAATTTCAAGTGCAAAAAATGAAGAAGGGGTGCTGGAGCAATACCTAACATCTGGAGCCTCTGCAGAGGAACTTTGTCAGTGATGTCATCTTCATGCAGAAGATCATCAACACTCCAAGACTCTGCAAAGACATCAAAGAAGGGAAATTTTTTAGGTGTTAGGTTTACTCGTAATGCCAGACAGGAGTACTGTCACAGACCGTAGCATGATTTCATTTACTGAAGCTATGCTTAAACGAAACTATTTGGAAACTTTAGGCCAAATATTTATGACAAATGTATAAAATTCATCTTCCCCAAATGATTATATACCTGTGTCTGTGCTGTGGTTACTGTAATGTAAATATTTTTTAAATTCAGATCATCACCTCTAAATACAGTATTAGTTCACAACTCTGACTAAATGAACAAGACTGAAATCTTAAACGGTGCTCAAGAAAAAGCACATCACCCTTTAGATGAGGGCATAATCATGTAATATTCTAAATATGTTTCTTTTAAATGCAGCTGTAATATTACTTATTTAGTAAGCAGACCATATAATCCCAGTGCTGATGAGAGGAATGTAACTGTACCTGTGCTCACAGCAGTCTTTGTTTCAGGATTTGAAGGGGCAGGCTTGTCAACAGGAAGGCAGGTATCTGCGAACAGGAAAAAAAAAAACACTTATTGATATGATAAGAAACATCTCTTTGGAGTAAAGCCACAGCTCATGTAAACATGTGAATGAAAATTTTAGAACAAGTTAATTTACCTTTATGCTTTTTGTAACAGCCAAGTGAACAACTGTAAGAGCCAAAACACTCATAAGGATCAAGCATATCAACGTCCTCAACAGTGTTTAACACATTTCACATGTGATTATTCTAAACAGGCATCTTCATTTATTACAAACTTAAAACACACTCTAAAGTCAATCAACGGGAACATGACAACTCTGAGCGGGTAATGTCGATGCCAATCACAGATTGTGACAAACATCATGCCAGCAGGTGGCAGCACTGTCGCCAGCTTGTCTTTTGTCAACCGGCGGTACAGCACAAAGAAGAAAAACTGCACTAGCACGATTTGACCTATGTGGGTTACCGTCCCATGTGGTGTACACAGTAATAAAAACAATGTTTTCCTTACTGCTAGGCTAACTGCACACACATTTTGTTGAATGACAATCTGTGAATACAAAATATTTGATTTTTATTAACCGGAGTAACAAGTATCGAGTATATTCAGTGAAGTCCAACGTCACAAAAGTAATGTACGTCTTTATTCTCTCGGTAGACAAGCTGCCTATATTACCTTTTTTCTTTCTAATTTACAAAAAATCAGATTAAAGAACTGACTACTGTAGTCTTTGTTCCCAAAGGTTTATCTGTGGTATTCGTAGCTAAGCAAAACAAATGCTAACTATAGGTTAGCCCGCAAACAAGCATTCAGTTAAGGTTTACTTACTATCTTATTTTGCAGGCTGGACATCGGTATTTTGGAGTCCGTTCGCTGCACACACTGCATAACTGCATTTTCTTTTGAGGGAGAGGAAAAACTTATGAGGGAAAACAGTCTGTTAGCGTGCGGTATATGAGTGGTAAGCACCAAAAAAATGACGCTATTCCGGTTGTTTAGTTGTTCCTTCAAAATAAAGGCATCGCAGATTAATTTGACTTTCCGGTAGAAACAAAGTACAAAATAAAATCCAAACACCGGGAAATATCGGGCGTCTTCATGTCCATTTTAAATCTGTCTTTGTTTCATATTTAGACCTAACTCAAACAAAACTCCGCTGCGGATACGCGTCCTGATTTGATTGCGCGCGCACACACGCACGCAAATACTATTGGATCATTATACTAAAATGTTTATCCGCAATCCGAACAGCAATTGGTGTCTACGAACTGAATTACAGTATTGATGGGCCCAGGTAGATAGTGCTTTATAAGCCAGGCAAAGATGGGGCCAGATGTGTGTCTGCTGAGTAAAATCCCCAAATCATAAAAATGCATTTAAAAATTGATGATATACATGTAATATACACTCTGGGCTACACACACTTGCGATATAATAAAAGGATGGCATGCCGCCACAGGAAACCAACGTATGTAAACTAATTTTGGGTATATTTTTGGGGTAAGATGTCTCCATAGTAACCAACCACCTGTTTCAACATCCTTATTTGAGAAAGAACTTCGAATGTGGCATGTGAATTGTATACAGATTTTTTATTTAGATTGATACATTTATTTAGATTAAAAGTTTTACTTCTATTGATAAGAGATTTTATCCAAAAAACAGCAGTGCTGTGTATTTTCCTTAATCCCTAATCTGTTAAATTATTATGTGCTTTTATGGATCCATTGTTATTATGTTATAAAGCAAAAAACATTTAAGAAAAACCATAAATAGAGAAGCACCAGCCAAATGTCTTTGCTCTGCAAATTATACTCCCCCCTCTATGATATGATATGCCCATATACCATGTCCTTTAGGGGTTCTGAGATACAAATAAGCACTGCCGCATGGAATCGAACCCCATTTCAAATGAAAACATGACACTGGTTCAATTACCATCAACTTTTTATTTGATTTAAAATCAGCATATATCTCCTGCACCCACAGTGGATATATACATCTATACATTTAGCTTTCAAGCACACAATCCACTGACTTACATAGCTTAACACAAACTATTCTTGCACAGCTGTAACTTGAAGGAAGGGAGGGAGGGGGTGTCTTGTTACAGGGAAACCTATGGAATGGAGGGCTGACTTGTGACTAATGGGCACGTTCCTGGTGTCACAGCACTCCACTCACTGGGTCAAGAAGGCAGAGACACTTGGCCATGGTCAACATCAGAAATCCGAAATCTGTGTGGAGAATTATATAAAAAAGAAACATAAATACATTGTTTAGTAAAACAAACTCAATGTTTCCCTTTTAAATTTAGGTTTGCTGACATATACGTTTTTTGTTCTTTTTTTTTTTTAAAGAAGGCAAGCTGGCGCTACAGGTATTTTTTATTTATGCATGAGCAGTTTGTTCTATGACATATCAAAAAGCCCCGCATATTTTAATTTTTGTTTTGACAGACAAACAGCCCGAAAGCTCAAAGCAGCCAAAAATAACGCTAAAGAGAAATTAACTGATCCAGTTACTGACAAATGATAACCTGTTTATTTTCCTCCAATGCTAGCCTGAGCTGTGGGGACGCTCAGTCCATTCTGAAGGCCACAATGCACAATATCACTTACTCCGCCTTTTTCAAGGACGGATCGCGATCTCCTGACTGCTGTTACAAAGGCAGGTGTTGTTGCTCCTCTATGGGTGTGAACTGTTTTGGCATGGCGTCGTTGGCTGGGCTGTATAAATTCCAGGCAGGATTGTTTTTCTATCACAACCGTTCAACATAAACACAACGTTCAGACGACACCAATCCATAGCTACCTGTAAACACCGCAGAAAAAAAGCCATCAGGATGACGAGCTCTTGGTTCTCCTGCGTTTCATTTGGCTATTGTGATATTTTTCTGCAATCTTCCTCTCGTGCCCTGCAGGGCAATGGCGGTTTGTGTTCAGCTCGATTTCCCTCTTGGATCTTCCTTTACCGCCAGCGTGGCCCGAGTACTCTAACAGGTTGTAGTAGTCGTACTGATCGTAGTAGGCCTCCTCGAAAGAGACCAGTCTTTCAATATCTGTCGCCATTTGGACACGGAGAGCAGCACTTGTTCGCAGACAGTTTCTTGCAGCGAGTAAACATATGATGTCACGCCGTGTTTATATACATGCAGTCATGTGATCACGGCTGTTCCACTTCCATCTGTTTTTGAGGCGAGCACACGGACATACCAGAGAGTTTGTAAATTTAGAGTACACACCCCCTTTCTGGACTTTTGTTTTCAAAGGGGGCGCTCGCAAGATAGTTCAGGATGATCAACGTTTAGCCCGCGACATTTACATTCCGCAAACATTTTTGCTAGACACCTTTGCGATAATTTAAATATGCTTTGTATAGATATTTCCGGAGTTCAATTGTATTAAACACATTTCTGTGAAATTCAGCGACATCGCAGCACCATGAGCCACTTTACGGCATCCGCCATTTTGATTTCAGGCATGAAGCCAGCAGCAACAGAGAGCGTTGTAGCACCAGTCTCCTGATGGCATCATCTTCAACCACCATTACCAGCTGCTTCTTATACACGGATAGAGGTTTCTGTTAACCACGCTTCTAACATCTAGTTATCGTTTGTACACAGATGCCTCAAAAGGAGTATGCGCTGTCGTAACTCCTCGACGGACCAGTCAACAGGCGCTAGCAAAACTGTTTCTCTGTGGGAAAAATATAAGTACATAAATGTCGTTTTATGGTTAAAACTACCTTCGCTAAAATAAAGAGGAACGCTGTATCTTTTGTCTAAAAGCATGTGTAAACAATTATTTTATCAGTTTAGCTCACCTGACATCAATTTCACCAAATACTCTCTCGCTAGCGCCCTCTGCTGCGCTCCAGGGTTGAAGAAACAAGTGGACAATTTCATTGATAGGAAGTGGAATGGCTCTGTCTTAAGATGAACTCTGCGTACGAACGACTCGTGTCTGCCTTGTATTATGATTTTTTTTTTTTGTTTCTGTTTCAATTTGTATGTTCCGCTCTCACGTGACTGTTCGAGGACTATATATGAAAACTTTCAAATCAACTTGATTTTACGATAAAAATAAAAGTATGTATTTTTATTAACGCGCCAACATTAAAAGGCAGCTTAAGCGGGACATCATTATACAATAAGGTACCCTAAATAGGGCACCATTTTGAAATAAAGGAGCCTAAGTAGATCATGTGGATTCCTGTTTTACGGGCAATGCACTGTATGTATTTCTAAAACAAATCTGCACAAAATACAACAAATACCGGTCTCCCCAATACTCTTACATGCATTCATGTTAAAATAAAACGCGGCATGTGGCCTGAATATCGTTTATATGCCTGCTTCTTCTCTCCCAGAAATCCGCGCTCAGCATTTTCTGGGATGTTTTCCTCCTCGGCCCAGCGTCCCGCCCTGACGGTGTGGCACGTAGTGACGCTTTTCCACGTCGCAGTAGAGTCTCACAGGCGAGCTGGCTGCGTGTGTATGCGTGTCTCCAGCTAGGCCAGAGAGTGATGGCGGCGCCCGTCCTGAGAGTGTCCACCCCTCGGTGGGAAAGAATAGCCAGGCTTCTTGTTTGCCTGCTGGGCATACTGTTGTCTTTATATGCTTTTCACGTCGAGAGGGAAAAGGCGCGGGATGCGAGTTATAAGGCTCTGTGCGACGTCAGCAGCTCTATCAGCTGTTCAAAAGTGTTCAGCTCAAGGTAATTTGAATTCAGCAAAGAGCGCCGACAGTGGCGCTCAATGAAGCTGCCTGCTATTGTGACAATCTGGGAAGGGCTGCGCGGTTTAAACTGTCAAATGCACTCTGCTAACATTTGACTGCTAACCCCAACCGTAAAAGCTAATCACGAGCCATGGCTGGCAGCTCTCTGTTATGCATGCATTAGTTAGAAAAAGTAACTTTACCATTGTAGGTGTTGGTTCTAAAGCGCCACGTTAGCTTTGTAGCACCAAGAAGCTAATTTTGCTAACCATTAGCTAACGAAACCCGTTGGTTAACATTTAAGCCAGTTTTACTTCTGAACCGACTGCCAGCAGAGTCATAAACGCTGTCAGTTTTAATGGGATCCTGTTCAGACCGACTGTCTTTTGCACGTCTTAAAGCTAAAACATATGTTAAAACCAACTATATAGCATTAAAGTTCCCGATAGCTTGTGCGCAGCGAGGCTATTGTGAATGTATGAGTGATGCTGCTACGTGAAGCCAGTTACTCCGATGACCAGAACTGGGACATTTGTTTGCTGGGTTAATGTTGGTGAATTTAGTCAGATAACTTAAATGACTAACCTCCTACTTTGGCTGTCACACAGCTGTCGTTAGCTCTTGTGCTAACGTCACCAATTATAAGTCCAGGGAGCTAAAACCCTACAGCCTGGTTACCTAAAGGAACACAGAGCTGGTCCAGAGGTCAGTGGAGGGGACTGTAGCATCACTCATCCTTGCTAGACAGGAAGGTGCATCTCCAGAGATTATTACTTTTTTTCATGATTATTATACACTTTTTGTATGCATACTGTTAAGGTGCTTAACAGCTTTTGGTGGCCATAAACTACACTAACACCATCTACTGGGCCTGTTTGAATGAGAGGCACTGCTGGCCCTGATTACACCTGGAATGCAACCTGCCTAGGACTTACTGCATATTTGTTGAATGAGTCGGTGACTTTTCCGTTTGAGAGTCTGTCTCGACCAATGTAAGCAGCCCAAGTGTAACATTTCTTTTAAAGAAGAGATCGGGCTGCTTACATTGGTCTGATCAGTTATGGTTTCCAGCAGTGTAATCTTTATGTCATCCTGTATTTTTGTGAGCTGAAGGGTCTGCTTATCTGTTAAAGAACTAGGCACAATGGTGCTCTAGTGAAATGAATGGAAAGAAGGACATTTAGTAATGTGGAAAATACAATTTATTATATACAGGGTGCACACACAATATACATTATACAAAAGGAGAATAAGCTTTCACAAAGTGAAATGTGATTGCAAAAATCAAGTCCACACTAGGACATAACCTTTGTGTGTTCCTAGTACTCTTAGCGTAAGACATGGTGGATTGCGTTGTTACGTCGGATGATGTCAAACATGGATCAGAGTTATTGAAACGACATTTACACATGCTTCTATCAAATTATTATGTTTTACAATGATAAATAAGCAAGTGCATAGATCAATGTGGATTGGGGCTTTAAAAAATGAAGTTCTTCAGGACTGGATCTTACCCATCAACACACCCTCTCTCTCTCTCTCTCTCTCTCTCTCTCTCTCTCTCTCTCTCTATGTACACACATATTTATTTATTTATTCTGCATCCTGCATACTTTGGCATCCAGAAAATATAAACAATGATTTTATATGCAAAGAAAAGATGGCATATCAGAAACTCAAGGAAGAAAGAAATTCCTCCTGTTTGAACTGCTTCATGTCAGGCAACACATAAGTCAAGAGGTAGTGATTTGTCTTTGTGACATGCTGCCTTTCTACATATTTTGGAATTGCTTTATTGAATTTCAGGCCAACAAAAAATGTTTTATGTTACTGAAATAGATCCCCCCCCTTTTTTTTTTTTAAAGGTTCAGTTTATTAAATAGTAAAATGCTCTTCTGAGAGTAATAATTTGCTGTTATTTTACTCAAATGAACACCTCACTGCAGCATTTTAGGAAGCAAACACTAGGCCTCGTTGCATGTTGTGCATGTTGATTTCCATGAATAAACTCTATTTTATTCTATTGTGGTTTAGGTGGGGTCGAGGATTTGGACTCCTGGGCTCAATTTTTGGAAATGACAGTGCACTGAACCAACCCAACAGTGTCTATGGGATTGTCTTTTATGCCTTTCAGCTGCTTCTAGGTAAGCCTATACTCTGTTCCCAGTTGTGGGTTACTTTGTCATTATGTTTTGGATTATATATGACAAATCTCTCTTTGCCTTTGCTCTAGAGGCAAGTGCTGACTCAACTTGTTGCTTTCCTGTAACACAGCTATTTTTGCCTAAACCTGACTCACATGACACTGACATCACATGGAGTTCATAAATGATAATAATGCAGTTAAATGCAAAGTTTGTGTTGTAGGAAGCATTTCTTGCTGACCTGTATTGAAATGTTTTTGGACCTCCCATAGGACTGCAGAGATGCGTTTTTAGAAAACTTCTTATCCTTCTTCTGTTTGGTTTGATGCCTGATATCGTTATGTTTGTCACACTCTAATCTTGACACCGACAGATAACTGTGATTGTGAATATTTCTCTCTCTGTGTGTGACTTGTTTTAACTTGAATATTTTTTTTCCTCCCTCTGGCGTATGTGACTCAGTCATGCTGGTTCGACATGTTAGCCTGCCGGAGGCCTGTAGGCTTGCCCGGCCACCTGGCCCTGGCACTGAACAAGAGGTCCTTTTAGCTGCTGCATTTAACACTCATTTGAGTAGGACAATAGTATCCCAGTTTATCCAAACTGCTGCAGTGGGTAAAGACTTCCATATTAAAGACTGGTTGCATGGCCTTGGATTGGAAAATATTTGCACGTAGGCATTGCTCCAAAATCAGCATAACCAGGGCCATAATCTCTGGTCAATGCCAGTGAGCAGGTTAGAACTGCTGTTGCAAAACACTGAATTATTGCTATAGTTGTGACATTTGGCGATGTCCCTGCAGAGGAGCTTCTTTATTCCTTAACTCTAATGAAGAAACTAGAGATTAGTTACGTGTTGCGAGGACGAAATAAATATATAGTAATATTTGTGTCGAGGTAATCAAGCAAAGTTTGAGATTCTGATGAATTTTTATCCATTTCAGCTCTATAAGTGAACACTTACTAAATCAAGCACATCTGTTAACACCCATCTGAGGTTCTTACTGCGTGTTGATCATCACAGTCCTCAGATGCAGGCTATTCACACATGGAGGCACCTATATGTGTGCAGATGTATCACAGTTAACTTTCACTGGTTCATCTGTTTTCACTCAGTCAGTGAGGGTTTAGTGTCTTTGAAGCATGAAGTTCACATTAGAGCAGGGCGATATGACCAAAAATATTTATCATGATATACATTTGAAAATTTGCGATAACGATAAAACTGACAATATAATTGACACTAGACAAAATACTTTACAACTCCACAACTTTATTAGTGCAAAAAACCCCAAAAAACATCAATGTATTTTCACTTAAACAAGCAGCTTTTTTAAGTGCATTAAAATTATATAAAACTTTTACAGTGCAAATGCAAATTTCTTGCTGACAGTTTAACCAAAAGACATTTCCAGTGGAAATTGCCCGACATATCCTCAGCATAACCATGTATAATATCCACAAAACGTAAGAGGTTATACACACAATACGGTAATATGTTGAAGCACAGTACGTATCACTCCGCAAGGCTCCTGTTTACGATAGCCGTAATGCTGCGACAATCCATCAAGCGGTGCAGCTTCGTAGCTTAGCAAAGTCATACTGAAAAATTTGACAGATTTTCGAGCGTCGTGTACATAAAATCGTTTCAAGGTCAGTAAACACAACCAGAATTCATACATAAGGCACACGGGATCATAAGGGGCACTGTCGATTTTCAGAAAAATCAAATTATTGATTTTAAGTGTGCCGTATTTTCCAAAAAACACGGTAATAACGACAGCCCGCTAGCATATGCTACCAAAAATAGTGCTTTGTTGTGTATCTGACGGGCAAAAGCTAAACCAGTTTCACACCACTGAAGTTGCAGCATTTTTACAAACCAATTCTGGTTCCTCCGTTTCATTTAACGATCCACTTTCGCTCTTCTCATTCTGCGTCGCCGCCATGTGCGTATGTAAACAAAGGCACTGCGCATGCGCGTATTACCCATATTCTATCTCGATATTTCATTTTCCTATCGTTGCCCAACATTACCGTGAACCGTGAACGGTATGATATAGCCCAGCCCTAGTTCACATCCATAGTCAGTGTTGTAGTTACAATAGATGGCAATGGGGACACCCAAAAGTACACACAATCTACATCTGTGTGTGTCTGTGGATACAGCAAGGAGCAACACACATTATAGCTGCTTGAAAGAGCGTGCTTAGAAAATCTTTGCTGTCTTTCCTCTAGAGCTGGGCGATATGAGATTTTTTTCATATCACGATATGTTTTTTTCATTTCAGGCGATAACGATATATATCACGATATATATCACGATATAAGCCAAATAACTATATTTGTAAGATTTAAATGTGCCGTTGCTCACAAGTAAAATGTGAAATAATCAGCAGCTTGTTTTGATTTAAATATTTATTTCCCATAATAAGTTCAACAGCGTAGATGTACTTAAGAAACAACGTTTTCAGATAAATAAAGGCAAATATTGCAAACTACACAAAAGGCAGCCGCCAAAGCGTTTAAGTTTCAAAATAGAACAAACAAAACAGGCTACTAAATAGTCAATTCCACTTAGAAACAAAATATTAATTCTAAAAATAAATCTTAGTTTGTTTTACAGAAGAACAGACAAAATTGACTAACTTTTGTCAATATCAAATAAACTGAGAACTAAAAGGAAATTCTCAATC